TTTTTTTCCTTTTTTTCCTTTTTTTTCTTTTTTTAAGTTTTTTCCTTTTTTTTTTTTTGTTGGGGGGTTGCGGGGTCCTTCCTTCTCTTCCTTCTCTGCCTGGTTTTTCGCCAATTCCCGCGCGCTCTCCTCTGCTTTGCTTTCCAAGTCATCTTTCCCATTTCCCGCCATTTCTACCATCCTCCCCCGTCATTTTGCCCGTTTTCCCGCCAATTCGTGCATTTTTCCCGCCGGTTTATTCTCCATTTTCCGTTATTTACCCCCGTTCCGGCCCCAGTCTTTTCTTTTTTTTCGTTATTTTCTCATAAGATACATCCAAGCACACAAATTAGAAGGACAAAGAACAAAAAAGAGGGGAGAAAAAGGAGTTGAACAAGAGCTCACCGATTGATTGGATAATTGAGCGAAAAACGAAAGAAAACTTCTGCTGCTCACGGCTTCAGTAAGCAAGTGCTTTTTCCCGCCATTTTCCTTTCTTCCGCATTTCGCGCCAATTTTCCCCAATCCCCGCCAGATTCCTCCCATACCTCGCTAATCACTCCAAAATTTCGCCATTTTCCCCATCTCGTCATTTTTCGTGTTTCCCGCAACTTTTCCCATCCCCCGCCTTTTCCCCCATTTCCCACCATTCTACCCATTGCCCGCCATCTTTGTCATTTCCCGCCATTTTTGTCATTTCCCGCCATTCCCTGCTGCTATCACTTATCCCCTCCTTTTTTCTCGTTTCTGCTTTTCCCCTGCATCAAGTCCGGTCCTCCCGCCCCCCAAAAAAAGAATTAAAAAAAAGAAAACTCCGTCCTCCGGGCTCCGCCCAGCATTCTTCAGCTTTAACTATCTCCCGTCGCGGCTCGCTGCACCGCTCGTCAAACGCCAGCATTTAGAATGCATCCGGACATGACTGCCGTCCAGGTACATTCAAAATGTTGGCGGTTGGGGAGTGGTGCGGTGAGCCCCTCCATCTTTGGCACATATAGGTCAGAATCAGTGCCGGGATCCGTATAACCACCCGCTTGTCGAATCCGATCCCGACACAGGCGCAAAAATGCACTGTTCACACACCAAGCCCCGACTCCGCCGTACACGAGAGG